GTTTTTATGTAAGGGTTCCTATAACTTTTAATATCAACAGATTTATGTGTTCAAAGACCTGTTAAAGAACTCAACCCTAAAGCGATCAAACATGAAAAACAATTCATTGTTGTCAAATTCATTGTTGTCTAAGAAAAGTGTGCAGATATTCGTATACAAAATGCTCTGATTGTGATTTCTAGTTATGTCAGAACTATCAATTCTTGAAATCTTTGTTCGAACATGAAGCAAAATTATAATAAAGTGCCATCACTGTGGGAATGAATTCCCTGTATCGTCATTGGAACCATTTTTTGTTTTCCAGAATGATATCGAGATCGGTTTATCTTTATTGGAAGAAGGCCAATGATTCTCGTGCCATAACCCGTTTATATTTCGGTAGTTTCCTTTTCTCGGTCCTAGTAATTCTATTCACCGGTTTCATCGTGGGACAGATTGCTTCTCCTCGTTTTAGGTCAACGATATTTGCATTCAATTTTCATTGTATCATGTTTGGTTCTTTATTCAGTTATACGCTGTAGGTACGAGAGCAAGGAAAAAGCGATCGATCCGGCAAAATTGATAGGTTACCCCCTGTCCAAACATACCGCGGCAAGCCCTTCTCTTACGCTAGCTGTGTAAGTTTAAACTCCTGAAATAAAGGAACGATCCGTCGTTTTTCATTTACGAGAAATACTGAATGCATTTATATACATATTTCAAATTGCTATCCGGTACCGATATTATTATGCAGTATTTATAAATCACTATGCGGTACCTATGTAATATTCGTTCGTCATTATGCATTTCCCAGGAGTTTTTCAGGAGGCTGTTCAGAATAGAAAAGAAATGAGAGACAAACGTTTATTTTGATCACAATCAACGATACAACGTGTTATTTTAAAGCATGGTCCACAATTATTTAAAACACGACCTGAACACGCTCCTGTTACGGAGCCAGGAAACGAATAACGGCAATGCCATTAGCACATTCAGCTTTGTATGTGAATCACAAGCCCGTTGTTCACTTCGACTGCTCGATGTAGCTACCTTTCTAACATCGGGATGCCTCGCATTAATTAAGCCATGCTGCTCATCAATCTTATTTTCTTTCGCCGACCGTGTCTCGATACGGGGGAAGATTAATGTAGATAAGAGAGAAAAGTAAAAGGGTGAAGGAAGGCTCGTCGCATCCCCTTGGCGATTTAAGCCTGTACAGTGTCGCGCGAAGAACCTGCTCTTGATCGCGTGAATTACTTTATTGTTGGCCCTTGCGAGATTCAATTCCCCTCTGGATAATAGAAGACGCTTCCCTTATACACTTTATGCGCTCAAGTACTATTTATTCCTAAGAGAGAAAGCCGTTGTTCTTATTACTATTTTTTGTTACAACGCTCGCGTTGCCGGAAGCTGGTACAGATTTTAAAACAGATAACTGACTCGAACTAACGTTCAGTAATATGTTTGACCGTTCTTTTTTCTTTTACTTTCTGGCAAATGTGTTTCTAGTCCAAAACGATTTACACTTTTTACGTGGAATTAAAGAATGCTGTAGGCCCTGCTCGTAAAGTGAAAAGGCAATTTCAAAGCTGCGGAATTAATTACTCGTTAAAAAAATTTACTTTGTAATGTCAATAA